ATAAGGACCGGAGGAGTATGAATGTATGGTCAGTTTTGGATAAGACGTGGATCCACGTTTTAAATTTAAATAAACTGTAACCTAAGCAGTGGAAATCCGTAAATAACATGGGTCATGAATTTGATATCATATATTCCTCTTGTTCTAAATAAGAGACCCACTTCATAACACTACACAGTGGGTCTTATATTTAGAACAAGAGGAGTACATATACTACCTCCAATCCTTAATATCAAATCTAGCTAACTAATTTTGAGAGATTAAAAAATTAGTAAAGTTAGTTATTTGTAATAATAGGTATTGTCTTTCTTAGAATATCCCTATCAATCATATATATTAGCTAAAACTATATTTAACTAAATATTTAACATGTGTAAAACTATTACAAGAATTATCTTGAGAAAAAATGAATAAACATGATAGATAAAATAGATTTGAGTCTTGTAACTAGAACAAATTAAAAATTAAACAAACTTTTGTATTAAAGGCAGAAGGTAGTATATATAGATTATGTGATGGGTGATTACGCTATACTTAAATAAAACATGCCTAATTAGTTCCTGTCGTCTAGCGGCAGAAGGAGGGATTCAACCCAAAGCTCATTTTCTCTGTAATTCATCTGGACTTTTGGTTCAAGTAATTTAGATTTAATATTTTTAATTATTTATTTTTTAAATAAAACATTTTAAAAAATAATAATTAAGAGATTGTTTTATTTTATTTCTCTTAAAATAATTATTTAAAAATAAAAAAATCTAAACCGTTCAGACAAATCTAAAGTAAGGGAATTAGGGACAGGCGGAGGGAAGGAGAACTGGGGAGACAATAAATTATAAATAGAGCAACTGTAACGCTTGGCTTTATTGCAACTGAGGAAGGACCATCCCCCATTTTTGGTACAAAATAGCAACACCCACTCACGCTCTCACTGGATCCCAGTCTCCATCTCTCCTCCTCTTTAATTAGCGTCATTAATGGTTAGTTAATTACATGTTTCCATAATGGAGAGTGAGACAGACACAGAGGTCCCGGAAGGAGTAAGGACCACCGCAGAGGAACCCTCCCTCCGTGCCCCGCAGTGGCAGTCCCAGATGCATGATATGTGTCATTATTTAGATCTGAATCTGAACTAGGATTTCCTCTGCCCTCATCCCCCCCACTTCAATTCCCCATTTTACCCCCACCCACCACCCCAATTTTCCCCCAACAAGATCTTCATGAAAGAAACACAGATCCACCTTACTTCAAGTTCAAGGCCTCCGGATTCTTCTTCTCTTTCCTTCAACCCAAAATCCAGTAATGCTACTTTTAACCCTATTTATAAGAGTTCATTTTGATTGCAAATATAGCATCTTAATTCTTTTTTTTTTAATTTATAAATTTATGAGAGTAAAAATTAAAGAGTATGAGAGATTACTTCAGAAAAATTAATACATATTTATTACAATTTCAAATTTATAAATTAATTATCTCACTTTTATATTTAAAAGTAAAGGGAGCATAAATAACATACTCAATTATGGGTAGCCCATAATGTTAACTTTATCAAATAGAGAAACAAAATGCATCTTCAGTCTTTAATATAAGACATATTTAACTAATTTGATTAGATTAAGAAATTTAGGTAAATTAGTTAATTATAAAAAATATGATATATTTTTCCTAAAACACTATAATCATCTTTCTCAATATTCTCCCTTTCTCTTCTACTTAATTATGGTTGAGGGAGTATCCGTAGGGTTAATTTAGAAAAAATTGATAAATATAAGAAATAGGTGTTATATTTAGGATCAAAATTAACTCAACAATTAGTTCTTATATTAAGGACCGGATGAGTAATATATTTAGTAAAAAAAAAATAATGGTTTCATATAGGCACTAAATTACACCAGACTTCATATAACTTTGAATCATGTACAGATAATTTCTTACTTTTTAAAAATAAAAACAGGTAATAATAAGAATGAATTATTAAATATTGAAAGATGAGGGAGGGCCGAAGAGGTTGGGGATACCTGGCAGTTGGGGAGGTGCAGAGAAAAAGCAAAACAACTACGAAACATAAGGCCAGACAGAAAAGCAACATGTGTCTCTAGCATCTGTCCCCACCCTTCTCTGTCGTAGGATTTTTAATATTTATTTATGTGAAAAAAAAGGAACAGGTATAGTGACATGGATGAAATTTGAAAGATAACTGGATAAATATTGATTAGTGAAAATCATTTTTAGCAACAAAATCAAATGGATAACCTTTAAATGAATATATATTTATATTATATTATCATAGTTCTTAATATAAGAATTGCATAACTAATTTGATTCCATTAAACAAAATATGTTAAGTTAGTTATTCATTTTAAAGTATTTTTATTAATCATGTGCATTAAAACCATACCTTGATATAACTTCTTAACATGGGTAATTACAATAGGAATTACTTGGGGGAAAATAGATAAATAATGGAGGTAAAATGGACTGAAATCCTATATTTAGAACTAAATTGAATATCTAGCTAGCTTTTATACTATCTCCAGTCTTTAATATAACAGTTATTTGACTAATTTGAATATATTACAAAAATTTGTTAAGTTAGTTATTTGTAATAAATAGACGTTGTATTTCTTAAAATATTCTTACTAATCATATATGATAAATAGAACTACCGTTTGATAAAATCTTTAACAAGAGCAACTACTATAAAAACTACCTTGAAAAAAATGGATAAATATAATAGACAAAATCAGTCGGGATCTTATATTTAAGATCAAATTAAAAGTCAAACTAACTCTCATATTAAAAATCAGAATTTGTATTAAGAATTGGAGGAAGCAAATTTTACATTGGGGGTTGTAAGAGTAATTAATGCACATTTTTAATGAAAGATGCTTTCAAGTTGGTAGTGTGTGAACAAAAGTCATAATAAATAAAAGTAGAATATGGTCCAGGGATATATTGAATGTGGCGAGTGTGCACTAGCACGTACGTACTCTATAATGCATCTGCAACATTTGTGAGTGGACAAAGTTCAGAGATACTTATCTGTTATGCATCCCCTTCCCCACAAAACTTGGCAGTTTTACGTACATTCACACTCTACATATCTACCTCCTTCTAAAGTCTCCCACCACCAATGCCTCTGAATAGCCCTTTATTAGTTTCTTCTTATCAATCCAGCCATTGCTGAATCTCCCTGTTCATCATTCAATGCCTCTCTCAACATGCATAAATAATGCTCGGTTTACAATTCACATGCATCCTCGTCACTTTTAATTAGATAATAACGTCAAATAATTGAGCCAACTTGGGGAAAATTCAAATATTAAAAATAAGAAAAATTAATCAAAAGTTCCTAATTTAAAAATTAATTATGCGGGCATGTCTAATGACCTAAGCCTTTGAGCGGGTACAATTACAACTCTTTATCAACGATTTACAACATATCTTCGACCGTGTATAAATATATTTCATTTCACACATAATTGAAGATAAGTTATACCCGATTAATAATTTAGGTTATTAGCCTGCAAGGGTTGGGTCCGACTGGTCGCAAACGGGGACGCAAGGCGCGTTCTCCTACCGGGTCATGGGCTCGATTCCTGGCGAGGCACCCTGGGATTAATTTGACCGATATGCTGGGATACCCTGAGTTAGCGATAACATCCTACTCAAAAAAGAATTTAGGTTATTAGGAATCCGTGTACTATAATCAGGGAATTTTAACTGGTAACAGTGATTGGCAGTATCGAGGTACTGTGGGGGAAAATAAAAGGGGGACCTAACGGTGATACCAAATACCAGCCTCTTCGTGCTACCTCTTTATGTGACCATTTCAAATCCACATCAGAGGCGAAAATGTCTTTGTGGGTTAGTGGCCAAGCTGACCAACCGCCAAGCACCACCGGGCCCAACAGAATTGGACTAAGGTCTTGACCGGGAACGTGCTCTTGCGAGCCAGAAGCATTATTAGAGCCATGTACGTGTTTCACATGTAGAACCAGTCAAATATTATACGTTAAATTTAATTCTAAATATAAAATATTAATCTATTATATTTTTTAAAAAAATATTTTTATTGATCATAAAAAAATTTTATTAAGAAAGAATTCTAGTAATCCCATATATAAAATTTAAAAAAATAGTTTAAAAAGACTAACATATATTTGTAATGAATAATTAACTTAATTAATTTTTTTAATATTTTTAAATTAGTTATATAATTCTTGTATTAAATACCTGAAGTAATATGGAGGTCACGTTTCAGTGTGTTTTCAAGCACAAAGATTTGGTGACTTTGACTCTTTTCATGTAGATTTCTAGGGTCACCTGAGCTTCTCGCTAATATTATATCGCTTCTACTCTTTGGAGGCCGACTGGAAAGAAAATAAAAAAAAACCGTCATTTCTTTCGTCCAAGATAAGAACGAGAAAACAAGTTCTTTTATTTTCAGAAATACTACCTCCCGTTTTCAATATAAGGTCTAGTTGACTAGATTAAAAAAAACTAGGTAAATTAGTTATTTGTAATAATTATGTATTGTCTTTATTAAAATATTCTTTCTTAAAAAATGGATAAATACGAGAGACAAAATAATTAAAAACTTATATTTATAATCAAAATAAAAATTAAATGAGCTTTTATATTAAGGACTGAAGGTAGTAATAATTCCATATACTCCACATCTTGTTGATGATTTATACACTAATCGAGCCTGGAATCTTTCTATTCTAAAAGAAAACTACTCAGGTAGAACTGGTGGAACGCCCATTGCTCAAGTCTTTCATTAGTATATATCATTACAAATTTTAAAAAATGCGTCCCATTCACAACCAAAATCTTAAAAATCTCACCTCCAGAACAAGGAATTAACAAGAAAACAAAAATCTCACATGACTAATATATATAGCATGTACAATTGTCACTGTTCAGTAACTCAACTACAGATTTTCACACTTAGGTCCAGTATTTCCCGGAAAATGTACAAATCCCACATGCACTAAAAGACGTGCTATATCTCCAAAACAAATATTGCTCCTAAAAAAAAAAAAAATATCTACAACAGACATTTAAAACTAAATGCTTCAAGCACAAGGCCTGGCAACAGAATCCATGCTGATCAAACGGCTCCGATTCCTGTCAAGCAATCCTTCCATGATAACCTTCTTCTTATATTCCACCGTATCAAAATCCTCCTCCTCTTTCTTCACCGGTCCCGGCGGCTCACTTAGCTCGCTCCGGCGAGGCAAGAGATACAGCCAAAAGGATATACATATGATAGCAAAAACCTTACCCCACAGAATCAAAACTAACAGACTAGTAACCAAAATGTAACACAGAGCTTTAGTCCTGTTATCATCATCAGGATTTGTCGTTCCTTTTTTCTTATCTCTGAGTTTGGGATCTTCTCGTCGCTTAACTGTGGTGACGCTAATTGTAGTCGTGGAAGAAGTCGGAGAAGAAGAGGAAGAAGATCCCAAAGTCTGTGACGAGGAGCTTGAGTTTGCTGAAGATGATAACGAAGATCGTGTGAATAGAGAGGAGTTGCTTGATTCTAACGATGATCGGCTATTTTTGCATTCTTGTTTTGGATTCTTTTCAAATTTCATGTTGCTGCTTCTGGAAATTTTACTCTTGCTGGCTGCTTTCCTTGTTTTAATCTTCTTCATCTGTAAAAATTGACAGAATACGTGTTAGCTGGCCATCTCATAAGCAAAACAAGAAAATTTCATCAGTTCCGTTTTTTTTAATTCATTGCTTATTTGTAGTTTATTCATACAAACATTAATTGATCAATTATTTATTGTTAACTCTAATCAAATCTTAAACAAGTAACAAGATACTAGTAATTAGTATTAAAAATTCATTGTTATGCCAAAATAAATTATAAATTCATTGAAAGTAAAGAGATAAAAAAATGCCATTGTTTTAAAAACTAATAACCAACATATTGAAGAGACTTCATATATCATTTTTTTAAAGGAAAAAACGCGAACCAAAAATGGATTTTTTTTTTGGCGGATAAAATAAAACGGTGGGATCGATCATCAACCAAATTTATTCAGGCATTGACTGAAGATAACATAACAAGGGAAGGCAATACGTAAGATTGAAAATTCAGTTTTTCTCATTTAAAAATTGCAATTTGTCAAGTTTAAATATTTAAAAACGAACTCGACGACTTTTTAACTTGCAAGAAAACTCGTGGGAGGGGAAACCGCCATGGAATTTTATCGAATAAAAGATAAACATTGGGTGACGTCTAATTTATTGGATTAAAATACGGTTGGGAAGTTATATATTCATATATGATCATATATGTAATTGAAATTAAAATTGTGAAACAGACGAACGACAAATGGAAGCTTAGATTCCGCTTCAAGAATAGAGAAAATTTGGCCGATATATCTAACTATCAAGAACGTTGTGAGTAAATCTGTGGATTGGATTCGAACTAATCAAAATCCAGTATATATAACTATCAGAGATAGAAGGAATTAAGAAATGAATGAAGAACATGAAGAAAGAATGAAGGAAGGGCAAAGCGTACCAAAGCGGTGTCGTTGAATGCCTTCTTGAGAATCTGCCAGAAACAAGTATCGTTATCGTCGACTTTCTTCTTGGAGGAACGGCGCCAACCGTGGGTTCCTTCCCTGCAGTCCGCCATGAGCGCCGACGAGAAAATGGTGGAGAACGTAGCGGGCTCGAGATCATCGTCGACGGAGGAGACCGGCTTGAAACAGAGACAGAATTTGGCCTTGAAACTTGCGTTGTGGTTGATCTTATACCGGCCGGTCTTGGTCTTAAAGGACTCCATGGGAGAAGAAAAGCGGTTGATCGTGAAGAACAGAAGGAGAAAGGAATTAAAAAGAAAAAACAGAAAACGATGAGAAAGATAATGATGGAGGCAACGACGGGGGGGTGTGTTTCGCGTGGAATCTGGGGGGAGAGAGAGGGAAGAGAGTGGCGTTTGAGATTTCGTGAGTACCGGTGAAGTCGCTGAGGGTAGGCTATACTTCTTTCATTTTTGGGTGCCATCTACAATATTTTTCTCTCTCAATTTAAAATTTAAAATTAATACACACGCCGATCAACAGTGCATTTGTTTGAATGTCAAGGGAAAAGATTTTGAGTTTTTTAAAATATCTGCTACCTGCGATTCTTAATATAAAAAATTAATTAAAAAATTTTAAAAAATTATTAAGTTGGTATTTATAATAAATATGTGTCGTTTTTTTAAAATATCGTTAATAATCAAATATATTAGTTAAAACTACCATTTAATAAAAATTTTAATATGTGTAACTATTGACTACTTAAAAAAATAAATAAATATAATAGACAAAGTGAATTGAGATATTATATTTAGAACTAAATTGAATGTCAAATCAACTCTTATACTAAGAACTTGTGATAATATTAAATATTACGTATGACAATAATATTTAATAATTACGTGCGGTATGGATATTGACTCATTTTTACATTAATTCATGCTGGCGAAAAAAATCTTACATTAATTTATATGGTAGTCAAAGAGAGAACAGAATGTTGTAATAAAAAATCAACACGTACGTGAATTCGAATTTTTAAATTCAGTTTTTATCTGTCAAGATAGGTCCATATAATATATGTCTGCAGAAAAAGAGGCTACCTTCCTGGCATTGTGAGGCAAGTTTTTCATATGCGTATTATGAAATTTAAAGAGCCGCAGCCGCACGTAAAATTTAGGGTTCAAAGCATGTTATGGGATATTACTACCAATTTCGAGTGATTCGTTTCGCATGTGATGCATAAAGAATTCAAAAGTCAGTTGTATTACAGTATATGACAGACGCCACTTTTTTTTTTTTTTGGGACCGGTTATGAAAAATGCGGCCGGGTTCAAATATTTTTACTTCCCTATCCTTATTTTTGGGTGAGGACCATGGTAGCCAGCCCAACTAATATGGTTCGGTTATTGCAGAGGTACATATAGGAGGTGACCCTCCTAGGTAGGCCTGCACATGAGTAGGGCTGCCCAGCCCGAAGTATCTGCGGGCTGTACCAGCCCTGCCCGTAGAAGCCCAAACCATTTTGGACAGAGTATGGGCAGGACGGGCTTCATTGCCCAAAAACTGATGCCTTGCTCATATCATGAAAAAAAAAATTTCATTCATAGCTGAAAATCACATTTCATAATTCTATATTTTAACACATTAAAATCATCCAAAAATAATCCAAAACAAGTCTTAACAAATATCCAATTAAATAACATCAATAATCCATTCAAAGCAAGATTTAATATTGTAATTAGAGCCTAGAAAATTGAACGGTTTGCACTTTGCATCAATCTCTATAATTTCCAGAAAAGGATGGAGCACCTGAAAAAATACAAATAAAAATAACAAAGTTTAATGTATTAGAAAGTAAACAATAAAAAAAATGTACTTCTAGATTTTAAAGGATGTACTGATTCACCTTACCAACTTAACTAGTCATGCTTATAAAATGACCCTTCAATTACCAATAGCCATTAAATTCTCCCATAATTCTCCCCTCTAGGTGTAGTAGAATCTAGGGGGGAAATCAAAGAACAATGACATTACAAATTATGAAGTAAAATATGAGTTATTGTGGTTTAGGGGGGGAAAATTACTAGCAAGTTGAATGACATGTTCTGTCTCATCAAAATTATCAAACTCCCAAAGCTTATCAACAAATTCAGACATTGATTGCTCAGATTGTAGCCAATTTTGGCTACAAATTAGTGCTTCTGTCATCTTAGAAGATAAATAGTTTCTATAATGATCAACCACACGTCCTCCAGTGCTAAGGGCAGACTCAGAAGCCACTGTAGAAACTGGCATAGCCAATCATCTCGTGCCATGTGCGAAAGAATTCTATATTTTTCTGAATTAGCTTTCCGCCATAACAATATGTCAAACTCAGCTGCAGAAGAGATTTCATCTCTTGAGTCAGTTGTTATATATCTATCTAACTCAGTTTGAGGATCTGTTGAGGTTCTTTGTTTCATAGATTCTAATCACTTATGACCTGGATCCTCTTCACCATCATCATCATCATCATCAAAAGAAGGCAATGAAGTTGCAACTGTTGTACTTGTGGAGGTAGTCCCTGAGTCAATAGAAACCCCATCAGAGTACTCATTAAACAACCGATACAAACAATCTTTGACCCTCTCCTTCATAATCAAGCATACTTCAGGATCAATGTAAAGAAGATCAAACATATGATTCACATATGCTAGTTTATACCGAGGGTCCAAAATGACAGCCACAAAAAGCAATGGATTCATATTGTCTGCTTGACCCCAATACTTATCATATTTCACCTGCATGATAGTGCTCATTTCTCTCAAGAAGCTATTAGCATTATTTGTGATATTCCTTTGCAGCATTTTCTGAACCCGAGCAAACTGGTGGAAACATTCATTTTCTAATACAGAAAGGGAGCTTGAAAATTTTAATGTTATGTCATAGAAGACCTTCAAGAATTTGATGAAGATTCAAGCATTATTCCAATCATCAATAACAGGACCAGAAAAGTTATCTTGGTCACGTCTGATACCATCATGCTCACGCCTAGAGCTTGAAGTGCTTGAGCTGAAGTATGAAATATAGTCATCATCTTCATCACGCATTCGCTCAAACACTTTTTAAAACTTCATTGCAGCTTTTAACATTAAGTATGTTGAATTCCATCGAGTGGATACATCAAGGCAAACAAGGCTTTTAGTGTCTATTTTTTCAACTTCAACCGAAGTTTTGAATCTTAGGGAGCATGAAAGAGAAGAACGAACATATTTAACAGCACTTCGAATAGTTTCAAATCTGTCTTTCATTTCTTTAATACCTTCATTGACAATCAAATTTAGGACATGTGCACAACATCTTAATTGTAGATAATCACCATCATAAAGTAAGCCCTTCCAACTCCTCAAACGTCTTTTAAGATATCCCAAAGCTGAGTCAGTAGTTGAGGCATTATCCACAGTTATGGTGAACACTTTCTCAAACTCCCAATCTAACAAGCATTGCTCAATGGTCCTTCCTATAGTATCACCTCTATGATTTTCAATCATAACAAAATTGATAATCTTTTTGTGAAGCTTCTATTCATCATCAATAAAATGTGCTGTCAAGCATAGGTAGTTGAAATTCTGATTTGATGTCCAACAATCTGTGATGAGACAAACACGTTTAGCACTCTGCTTCAAAAATTTCTTCAATACTTTAACTTCTCCAAGATATAATTGCCACACATCTCTTCCAATTGTTGTTTTTGAAGGGATTGGAAAGCGAGGTTCAAACTCATTCAACAATTTCCTAAATACAGGCTTCTCCACAATTCTAAATGGTTGCTCATCACTGATGATAAATTCAGCTAAAGCTCTTCTGCATCACTTCTCATCATATACATGTGGAATTAAAGATTTTCCTTGTCCTGCTGTTCTACCCAACAAAAGAGTTAACATAGATTGTTTTTTATCTGTCATGGCCTTATATGGATTCTTTGAACACTTTGGGATATGCCTCAACAAAGAATTTGTCCCATGGTGGTTTGGATCAGCTTTATAAGTAGTATGACAGTACTTGCAAGCTGCTAAGTGAACTCCATTAGTTTCTTATATTGGCAATCTGACAAAGTATTCCCATACCTCTGATGTGTGTTTAGGTTCTTTTGCATTTCTCTTTATACCCCTTCCATCAACATTTATTTCTGGTGTGGCAGAATTTGTTTGTGGGGGAGTAGGGGTAGGAGAAGAAGAGATGGGACAAGGGAGGGTAGGATAAGATGGAGGCTGAATAGGAAGAACAGGGCTAGGGGTAGGAGCTTTATTAGGTCTATTAGGATTTGGTGTTTGATTAGGTCCAGTAGGAATTGGTGTTTGAAAAGGGGTTGAAGCATCTTGAGACATTCCACCAACGACCGGGGATGGTGATATAATAGAAGTTTCCTCATCCATTAAAGCTGCAATGCAATACCATATAACTTCACAAACCATTTTTTAAAGATATATCAGTACATAAGGAAGGATCAAAACTGAACAAATATTTAATTCAAAACCCTTATAGACTTATAAACTTGATTAAGAATGGTAATTAAGAATGTTGCTTGGTGGACATTTATTAAGAAAATTCCCTCATATCTAATTTTAAAAACTAGTTTGGTTGTAATCGGATATAATTAATTACTTATGCTTTCAGGCATGTGTGTATTAGTTTACATCTTATTAAATGTACAAGCAATACATAAAACAGAAAACACAACCTGGGAAAATACCTCATGATCAAAACACGAACCGAGAACAAGTACAATAAAGCAACAAGTTATCCTTATTCTAAGTTTGAACTTAAAAAATGCAGGTTTCGCACTCCACACAAAGGTTTCATTAAGCAACTGATCTTTTAAGTTCTTATTAGGTGCCAGCGATTCCTTTGACATTTTTCTCAGCAACAGAATAGATGAATTGATCCCATTTGATGAAAAATACACAGGAGAAGAGTAAATCTAGAAAGTAGAAACAGAACCATTTCCCAATAAAACAAAAAATAGATTTGCAACAAATTGGTATAATCTTTGTCTGGAAAATAAACTCACTGGCCGGATATCAAAGCTGAATCAATAGAGGAAGATGGAGCCTAGAAGCGACCGATGGTGAGCACTCACGGCGACTTAAGCTTGAGGGAGTGCGAAGACGGAGGTAGTCGTTGCTGGTGCTCAATGATTTGAGCTTGGAACTGGTTGGTGTCTCTGTGAGTTGAGGTTGAGAGAATGCGAAGACGGAGGTGGTGTCACTGCTCAGCGAGTTGAGCTTGGAAGTTGGAACCGGTCGGCGTCTGAGTGCCTCGGCGAGCTGAGCTTGAGTGGAGCTATGGAAGTCTTGAACTGAGCTGGAGCTTGGAACTAGAGGCTACCGACGACAGACCGACGGCGAGCAGTGAGCAGAAGTTTGGGGGGGAAGGTGCTAGGGCGTGATTCTAAGATGATCGAAGGATGAAGAGGAAGAGTAAAGGGAAAGTGAAATGAATGGTGAAAATAAAAAGAGGGAAAATTAAAATATTATATTATATTAATACATTTTATCATTTTAATGTTTTATGTATTATTATATATAATATATTATTATTATAATATATAATTACATACACTCCGGGCAGGGCCAAACGGGCAGGGCAGGGTACCCTGCTCGCGGCCCGGCCTTGCCTGTGATAAGCCCTGCCCAGAAGTTTTTTTTTTCCCTTTCGGGTTGAATTTTTTCGGGCCGGGTTAGGTTTTTTTTCTTCGGGCCCGGGCAGGCATACTGAGCTATGGGGCACTGTGAACACCCCTACTCCTAGGGCAGGGGCTTTATTTAAAATTTCAGGATTCGAACTCACTAAGCACCTTATCCCACCAGACCAAGTGGGTATTGGTTTTGGAAAATTATAAAAATATTTTTAAAAATTATTTTTTTGTAAATTGAGACAAATTTCTCTACATATTTACTTTTTATATTATATAATCACTTTTAAAATCATAATTTTATTTTCACCCAAACACCTCCTAAAGATACTTAATGCTTTTTCTTCTTCTTCTTTTTTTTTTAAATATATGCACAATTTGTATAAAGCTGGAAATATGAGCCAACTCAGTTTGTGAATAGGCCTGTTATGGGCTGTGAATTGGACCGCCACAGAATAAACAAAACAACCCGCATTTTGAAAATTCGGGAAAATTCCAACATAACTCAATTTTAGTTTTCAAAAAAAATATTTTCAAATATTTTTAAATAAAAATTATAAATTTTCTAAACTGAACTCAAATGGTTTCAATATTTTCATAAAGTTTATGTTTCAATGAGCTAGCCCATTTTTTGGTTGGTTAGGTAAAATATGATAGATAAGTTTCTCGTATTTTAACCACCAATAAGAGTTAAGTCTGACTAAAAAGGCTAGTATTTCATAATATGATGACTTAGTGATCGAATCATTGTTGAAAGATATATTTGCATTTAATGTCTGATAGAATTATCTCGAGCAAGAAGATACCTGAGCCTAGAAAAAAAAAAGTTTTGTTAATACAATCCATTTATTGCTTCTTGTTTAGGTTTTGGTTCCTTTTGAGAAACATGGGGCTTGTTTGGTGTCTTGTTTTGAAAATAATTTTGTGTTTTTAAAAATAGAAAAATAAAAAAACTTGTTTGATAACTTGTTTTTAGTTGATTGTTTTAAAAAACAACGAAACAGTAACATGTTTTTTAAAACTAAAAAACTAAAATAACTTTTCCATGTTTTCTTATTATTTTTTGTGTTTTTTATGTTTTATTTTGAAAAATTGAAGAAACGTTCTTCTTTTCTGAACCACTACCCACTTCTTATCACTACCGGTGACAATTACTATCTGATAAGTGTGATTTTTTTAAAATTATTATTCTAACAATTTTTTTTTGTTTTCTGTTTGTTTCCAAAACTTGTTCTAACAAAACAATTGAGAACAAAAAAAAAAAGAACAAAAACAAACATGCCCATGATATTTTTACGTGATGCATATATTTTATTTTAAATTTGATGAGAACAGACAATAGATTTGTATCGAAAAAAGAACATACAAGGGATCAATTAATCTGAAAATTAGAAACATGCTGTTGGTTGTTTTAACCCACTCGCCCCCATCAAATGCAAGCCATTTTGATGGTAGCTTGGACGGTAAGGATGGATTGGGGGGGTAGAAGTCAAGGATTCAAACCCTAACAAAGATCTTGAATGTGCAAAAACATTGCAAGATTTATATTATCCAAATATAAAATTTATATTATCCAAATATCCAATGACATGGGCTGGCCAAAAACTTCCGACATGAAAAAAAAAGGACAATGTAATGTGTTCTAGAAGTTACGAATAGGATCTTGATTTTTCCTCTCCGCCTATAAAAACACTGGTTTATAAATAATTTACAATAAATGATTCGAAGAGCAGCCAAACCTTTACTCAGCATATTAATGATGAATAAATCGGACCTAAAAATGACAGCATATTTTACAGTAGATTTTATCTCAGTTGTGTACTCTTTATATCAACTAGTTATTAATGATTGATGATTATTAATTAATACATTAGTGCATTTAATAAATCCATAGAAAACCATGTTTAGTGTTGTTTTCATATGTTCATCAGCTTACCATCGGTATCCCATAGTCCTACTTATAATTTGGTTCGCTCAATCTTAATTTACCTATTAAAAATTTCGAATCAGAAATTTGAATAACATAATATATAATAAAAGATGTAAAAAATTTGATATGGAAAATATCTTTAATTTTAATGACATGTGAATTGATTGTATAGCATGAAATGTTAAAAATCAGGGAGTTTATGTGTAACTGATTGATTCAAAGAATTTTATGAATTTTAGTAT